TAATGATGTATCATTTTTCAATATTTAAATAATTCATATGATTTTAAAATATGATTCCGTAAAAAATCTTATATATATAAAAAGAGTTTCACTCGCAATCTATTAGGCCACTTAATTGACATCATTTTTTAATTCTATTTTTTTAATCCGTCACTAAAAAAAATGTCAGGGCAGTAGATATAAAATTGAATGAAAAAAAAAGAGTCCAAAGACAAGAATATTGTAAATGTATGATAGTCATGAGAGAAAAAAATTAGTGACATTTGTCCTCTTTCATTTAACTTTGTCTCTTTTAATTTAGTTTTAAGAAGAGATATTTCTCTTATCTTATTAGTACATTTGACATATTTTTAAACTATTTTATTTTTAAACTATTTTACAATGTCTTCTTAATAGTTGAATATTTTTATCCTAATGATGTATCATTTTTCAATATTTAAATAATTCATATGATTTTAAAATATGATTCCGTAAAAAATCTTATATATATAAAAAGAGTTTCACTCGCAATCTATTAGGCCACTTAATTGACATCATTTTTTAATTCTATTTTTTTTAATCCGTCACTAAAAAAATGTTAGGGCAGTAGATATAAAATTGAATGAAAAAAAAAAGTCCAAAGACAAGAATATTGTAAATGTATGATAGTCATGAGAGAAAAAAAATTGGGACTAAACATTATGTAGTTAAATTTCATTATGATCTCAATAATAATTGGGTCATTTTCAAAACGGAAATTTTATGGTCTACTCAATTACTCATGTAACGTTTTTTCATATATATACCCTAATAATATTAATCAACTCTTTCGATATAATAGCAAATATTTATATATTTTCAATCACACATTAACACACAAATTTATGCCACTCTTAAACTGTTGATCTTCTTTGCAAATTCACATAAACTAAATTGTGTTTGAGAAGCTTGAAGCAAAGTATAAGATATAACAAAATTAGTTTAAACTTCAACAAATAAAACACAAATCATGCTTTTAGTTATTGTTATGTTAAGTAAAGGAAGAAAAAGAAAGTGCTGGTGAAGTTGAAGAATAGAGGAAGAAGGAGAAGGTGATGGTGTAGTTGAAGAATAGAGGGAGAAGGAGAAGGTGATGACTGATGATGATCATGATAAAGTTGAAGAATAATACTTTGTTTGTTTATGATCACTAAAAGTTTGCTTTCAAAAGGTATAGTTTATTATAAGAAATAGTACTTATTAGACATCTTGTATAGTTTGTATGGTTTAGTATTTTTAACCAATGACCTCTTATCTTTTATATTTAAAATCAATTTTTTATCCTAATTTTCACACTTCTGTATAAACATTTTTTATTTCTTTCACTCAAATTAACCTTTTAAACTAATATATTCAAACACAACAGATAAATCTAAATAGAAATATATACTTAATTCATAAGAAACAAACGACGTTTTGAGAAGAATTCTCTTTTACCAAAATTGCAACTACTTTAATTTATTTATTTTTAAAATAATTATTCTGTCAGTTCTCCTTTATGATACTTCAAATCTTTAACTTTACTTTGTTTTTTATTTTTTTTTCAATAGGTTGAAAAATAAATTAAGACATAATGATTGTAAATTTTTTTAATTTATTATGGTGGAGAGAGAGAGGAGACTGAGAAGAATAAGCGCAGCCATGATCAAATGAGCTACGTTGCTTACATTCACGTAGTAGTGTGTATATAAATTGATATATATCGTTTACTTTGACTTATTGTGATATTATAAAACGCGTTTATTTGGATAATACATTTATAGTTCTCGATTACGACTATATGGACTATGATTTCTGAATTTAGTTCATGCTACGATTATAAGGTCAAAAACGAAGAAGGTCATTCTAAATCTAAGTATTAATTATTTCTAAAAAAGCTTGAATGGTATACAATTTTTTTGTGTTCCGTTGAATACATATCATTCACAAAAACTTGTGCTAAATTATAAAACGTTAAAAATAAGTAATTTTTGAATTTGTCCCGCATGTTTAAATGTTATAAATAAATTTGAGAAAGTTCATTCATTTACTAAATTTGAGAAAGTGATTTTTGTTGAGACAAAATATTTATTATTATCCGTCATAATAAAATCATTTTCTTGTAGTCGTGCTTAAAATATATATATATGTTCAGTTTAAATTTTTTGTCATCTTATCGATTCTCTTATTTATAATTCAACTATTATTGAGCTATTCAACTGATAATCTAACATATATACCAATCAAACTCTATATTAATTATACTGTTTTCTTCTTCTAATATTGAATAGTTTTGTTATTTATCTGATATATGTTGAAAATGCGATTCCACATACTTTCGTGGCCGACCAGTCCGAATTATATATATTTTTTTTGATAAACCCTATCGGCTGATCCGGTCAGTCCCGGTAGAAATGCACCGAAGTGCTTCAGAGTGGACTTCTTCCCGAAGGGCCACCACACTGTCTGTCCCGAGTTTGGAATGCTTTCCGACTAATGCCAAAGGGTAGCCAGATCGCCTGTTACTGGACTACTAGGTAGACTATTTGGCCCAAGCCTAGACTTCCCACACAAATGTGTTTTTTATTTCCAGCGTGGATCGAACCTGGGTTAGTTCCTTCAAACATTTCCCCAATTCGATCTCAACAACCACTGGACGACAGCTGTGTGGGCAGTCCCAATTATATTTTACAAAATAGAACATATATTTTAGGAAAGGTACAAGTGATTACAAATTATTTGTATGAGATTTTATTAGTTAGGAAGAACAATTCACACTTGAGTTTGTTCCAACTTAGAGCATCTTCGTTGGTGATATATCATGTGAGTTTCTCGACCATATAATATTAATTTTTCTTCAATATTTTATTTAGAGAACCTTATACTACAATGTTACCTCTATTAGTGAAATATTGTATTGAGTATATCATTCACATAAAATTAATATTTTAATAAAAAAATTATATTAAACATATCATTTAATTATATTTTATATTTTGTAAAACAATATGATTAAAATTACACATCATTTTATCAAATAATGACAAAAGATAACACATTATTTATCAAAAAATTAAATTATTCAATTAAAAATAATATTAATATATAGTTTAAACTTTTATATAATAGAGTTTGATATATAGATATTTTTATTTTATGAATTATAGAAAAATAAAAAATAAAAACCTATAAACTATTTAATTGATATTATAAATTATAGAATAATTGATTTTTCAAAGAAATTGTTAAACCATTCTAAGAGTGACATGTGTATGAAAGAGAGAATTTTTCAAATAAAACGTTTTTCAGCTTTTTTAATTAATTTTTTTTTTTTTTTTTTTTTGATTTATTTGTAAGATTGGTATCTCATAGAAACACCACCAATAGAAGTGCAGATCGAGTCTTCACCAAAAAAAAACTTATTTGAATGAGTTTTTTGGGTTGACTCCGCGTTGAATGGACATTTTAGAGTTAACGGCTTTTGTATTGTTATGGCCCATTTATAGAAATTTGAAAGTAAATGCTCACGTTCATATATCCAATATTTTGTTATTTTTGTTTTTATCTTTTTGACATCACGTTCATCCAAATTTCCAATTGATACGTAAAATATATGTCTGTACAATACCAAAGTAGTCACGATTCATGAATATTCAACGTGGTGTGGTTGGGAATTTCATTTGTTCAGCTGACTTGCCCGCAAATCAGCACAGTCCTAATCATAGGTTGAAATTAGTGTAGGGTTCGGAGGTCGACTAAGAATAACAAAGCTTACGGAATATTGCTAGAATTTTTTTTTCTCAAGTTTTCTTCCTTGTTTTATGATTCTATCAATATTTTTTCTTAGAAAGAGTTCACCATTTTTATTATAAATGATTCCATGATAGAACCATTTTTTGGCTTTTCGTATAGATGAATAATCCTTATAATTTCAACCACGAGCTTGTAATAGGGTAGCCGATTGAATAGTTACCCAAACATGATTTTGAGTCATTGGATGTTTAGATGAATGTATACTAACCAAATTGGCTACAATCTATTGAGAGGTATAATAATAAGTAATAACCTTTCTATGTTGAGTTAAAAAGAGAAAACAATCAAAGCTGCCGACACAAAAAAAATATCCAACCTATAAAGAAGTAGAAACCTTTCGTATTTAACTTTCAGGTGAAGAAGACTAAGATAAAACACTTTACATAGACGTGAGCTAACAATTTGGCTATGGGCTTCCACCAATCTTGGTTACTTATTTAATCCAATAAATCATTGCCCAAACTCCACTATTGCATCTATCAAATTTTGCCAGCCACTACAACAATATTAATAATATATATGTGGTTGCGGTGTCTTGTTAGGAAATAATTCTATTTAAGAATAATGTCACAAGGAGCATTAGTGGGAATTATTTCCAAATAAATAAATTATTATAACATGTGTCATGTTCCATATGGTTGTATAAATATAATGGAGTGGTTAAACTTAATGTTGTCATTTTCTTAAAATCTTGCAAACCCAAAAAGATATGCACCCAATACAAAAAGCTTTTAATCTTCAATTTTTTGGGGCACACTTTTGACATATAGTAAACTTAAAGTCTATAGTAAAAGACCAAGATTTAGTAGGACTGAAGAATTAATAGTAATGTTATGTGTGTTACATTACTAAATATATTTTTCCTAAATATAAGGTAAACAAACACTAGAAAAATATAGACAGACAAGTGAACACAACCCAAAGAGGTTTCCATGAAATAATGAATTCAAGTGCCCTCTTCATCGATATTGTCAGAAACTTTAAAATAAATATATCAAAATTCACAAAAAAAATAAATAATAATTTCATCAAACAAAGACTTTGTTGCAAACCACCACCATATGCAGGCACCTGAAAAAAAAAATATAATATATATATATATATATTTTTAAAATAGAAACAAAAATATCTAACATTTTTAAGAAAATATTTGTATTTTACTATTTTCGACGACAAATAAAAAAGAGCTTTTTGCCATTGACATATTAAATGCAACGAATAATTTACGTTTCTAATCATTTTCTGGAAATTCCTTAGCCATTAAAAAAAAAAAAATACAGCCAGAAAATACGATTTTATTCTTTCATCTTTCTTCCTCCTTCTCTATTGAATAGTCCTGAGTTCATTTTTTGCAGAGTTCACAAAGAATCAAAACTCTTGTTCTTCTCTGGAACCTACTCTCTAATACAAGTACAGATTTTGGCATTTTGCTATCTTTTTATACAAAACCCCAAATACTCAAAATCTGAGTTTTTTTCCGTTTCTTGATCTCTATTAATTACCTGAATCAGCCCTTTCATGGGACCGTTACTTCTACTAAATTTCTTGTCTTAAAGGTAAAAACTTTTATTGTTTTCTTGAATCTTGAAAAAGTTTCCATCTTTGCTTGGTTTCAAGTTCATGTAAAAAAAAACCCTAATCTTGAATCTAGCTGATTGATTCTTTTTCCCGATCTGTTTCCATTTCCAGGTTTATTCTCTATTGGGTCAAAATGGGTATTGAAAAGTTTGGAAATTTCATCTTGATTTCGATCTTGATTTGCATCTGCCATGGATTCACACCTCAAGATAATTACTTAATCAACTGTGGATCACCAACCAATGGAACACTAATGGGTCGAATCTTTATGTCTGATAAGCTCTCTTCGAAGTTACTTACTTCTCCCAAAGAGATTCTCGCAAGCGAAAGCGTTAATAACGCTGGCTCAGACATTTACCAAACGGCGAGAGTCTTCACCGAAGTCTCTAGCTACAAATTCTCTATCACTCGTGGTCGTCATTGGGTTCGTCTCTATTTCAATCCTTTTGACTACCAAAACTTCAAAATGGGTTCAGCTAAATTCGCAGTTTCGTCACAAAGTCATGTCCTTTTGAGTGATTTCAATGTTAAGAGTACGAGAGTTGTTAAAGAGTACTCTTTGAATGTGACTACTAATGATTTAGTGCTCACGTTTACTCCCTCGGGTGGTTCGTTTGCGTTTGTGAACGCGATCGAGGTTATATCGATTCCGGATACATTGATCACTGGTAGTCCAAGGTTTATAGGCAACCCTGTGCAGTTTCCGGATATGTCAATGCAGGGTCTTGAAACCATTCATAGAGTGAACATGGGCGGTCCGCTTGTTGCGGCTAACAACGATACTCTTACGAGAACTTGGGTGCCTGATTCGGGGTTTCTGCTTGAGAAGAATTTAGCGAAGACTGTGTCTAAGTTTTCAACTGTTAACTTTGTTCCAGGTTATGCAACAGAGGACTCTGCGCCAAGAACCGTTTATGGTAGTTGTACTGAGATGAATTCCGCGGATAACCCGAATAGCATTTTCAATGTCACGTGGGAGTTCGACGTTGAGCCTGGTTTTCAGTACTATTTCCGCTTCCACTTCTGCGATATTGTTAGCTTGTCTTTAAACCAGCTATATTTCAATCTTTATGTTGACTCGATGGTCGCTGCTACGGATATTGATCTTAGCACTCTTGTGGATAACACTTTGGCTGGTGCATACTCGATGGACTTTGTCACGCAGACTCCAAAGGGTAGTAATAAAATCCGTGTGAGCATTGGTCCGTCGACTGTTCACACCGATTATCCAAACGCGATTGTGAACGGATTGGAGATCATGAAGATGAATAACTCTAAGGGTCAGCTAAGCACCGGGTCATTTGTGCCTGGTAGTAGTTCAAGCAGTAAGCAGAGTAATATCGGGATGATTGTAGGTTCAGCCATTGGTTCGTTGCTCGCGGTAGTCTTCTTGGGAAGTTGCTTTGTGTTGTATAAGAAGCGGAAACGTGGCCAAGATGGTCATTCAAAGACTTGGATGCCGTTTTCAATAAACGGAACTTCAATGGGAAGCAAATACTCCAACGGAACTACGCTTACAAGTATAACTACCAATGCCAATTACCGTATTCCCTTTGCAGCGGTTAAAGACGCTACAAATAACTTTGACGAGAGTCGCAACATCGGGGTGGGCGGTTTTGGTAAAGTCTACAAAGGAGAGCTTAATGACGGTACAAAGGTAGCTGTGAAAAGAGGAAACCCAAAATCTCAGCAAGGGCTTGCGGAATTTAGGACAGAAATCGAGATGTTATCTCAGTTTCGTCACCGGCATTTGGTCTCTCTGATCGGTTACTGTGATGAGAACAATGAGATGATACTGATATACGAGTATATGGAGAATGGAACGGTAAAGAGTCATCTTTACGGCTCAGGTCTTCCTAGCTTGACTTGGAAACAACGGCTTGAGATCTGCATTGGCGCGGCTAGAGGATTGCATTACCTTCACACGGGTGACTCGAAACCGGTTATTCACAGAGACGTGAAATCTGCAAACATATTGCTCGACGAGAACTTCATGGCTAAAGTTGCAGACTTTGGACTGTCCAAGACCGGACCTGAGCTCGATCAAACTCATGTGAGTACTGCTGTCAAAGGAAGTTTTGGATATCTTGACCCCGAGTACTTCAGAAGGCAACAGCTCACAGAGAAATCCGATGTTTACTCCTTTGGGGTTGTTCTTTTTGAGGTTCTCTGTGCTAGACCCGTTATAGACCCGACACTTCCAAGAGAAATGGTGAATCTTGCGGAATGGGCGATGAAATGGCAGAAGAAAGGACAACTAGATCAGATCATCGACCAGTCGCTTTGCGGAAATATCAGACCCGATTCGTTAAGGAAATTTGCGGAAACAGGTGAGAAATGTTTGGCTGATTACGGTGTCGATAGGCCATCTATGGGAGATGTGTTGTGGAATCTTGAATACGCTCTGCAGCTACAAGAAGCAGTCGTTGATGGCGAACCAGAAGATAACAGCACGAATATGATCGGTGAATTACCTCCACAGATCAACAATTTCAGTCAGGGAGACACAAGTGTTAACGTTCCAGGCACAGCGGGGCAGTTCGAAGAATCGAGCATTGATGATCTCTCTGGCGTTTCCATGAGTAAAGTATTCTCACAACTGGTTAAATCTGAGGGAAGATAGTGAGAGATTTGAGCAATGCCAGTGCCTAGAGAAGCCAAAGATCTGATCTTTTGACAGAAACAGAGCAAGCAAAGTATGTAACCAGGAAAAAGCATCAGTTTTTTTTCAGATTGGATCTTTGTCTCTGCTTGATCTGTTTCTACTGCAGATTTTCATCAGTCATGATACGAATACTTTGAAAATTTACCTTATTTTGTTCCTCTCTCCCTTATCCTGAGTTTGTATTTTATTGATGTTCATTTTGAAGTTGTCTGAAATTTGTTTGTTCTTTCTATTATATGGATGTTTAACACTCTTGTTGTTTCAATTGTATTGTAAGTTTAGAAGTTAAAAACATAGTTCTTCATGGTTCTTGTTTCGTTTGAGAAACTGTTTATTTCATCTTAATCTATATTGGGTTTTGTCTTGAAACAGTATTCGTCCGGTTTCATTGGTTCGTTTCTTTCCTTCACCACGACCAATTCTTGAACTTTAAACAATCATCAACAATAAATTTCCAAAATTATTATTCTCATTAGTGATCACTAATCAATATTAGTAACCTTTGTAGTGGACGCACAAGACAAACATTTCCATACGAGTCCCAAAACAAACGCCCTACACGACGATGTTTGGTTCTTCCTCGTAGCTTTCTTGGCCGCCTTCTTTCTCCCACCTCCTCCTCGAAAACAACTCTGTTTGTTTCTCCGATCAGCGGCTTCGCCACTTCCTCTATCATTGTCTTCTTCGTTCTCTTTTGTTGAAAAAGTGTAGCTTCTAAGGTACATTTGCCTACAAGATATGCTGTCAACCACCGTGGTGCGACGCTGGCTACCGTCGTTACTGATTGACCGTACGAACTCCGCCTCCGCCATTGGCCACTTGTAGAGATTGGCGTAAGTCATAACAGGCCGGATGCAAATGGAGTCTATTTTGATGTTTACACAAGCATCTATGCATTTTGAGGCCATGGTCGCTTTTTTTGGAGGGTACTTCTAACCGCTAGTGTGAACTGTTTTCCTTATTTTTGTTGTGATGAATATATATTCATAGAACTCCTTATCCCTTATCAATTATATTACTTTTATTTTGTGATATAAAACACCAAGTCAGAGAAAAAAGTTGAGAAGTTTTCTCAACTTTTTTTGCTATAAAAGTTTTCTCAATAATGTTTCTAAGTTTATCATAAAAAAGAAAATATGATTACTCACAAAGGAGAAGGTCTCCAAAATCGCTATAATATTTCCTCATATCCCTCTTGCATTCTGAAATCTGTTCTCTCTTCCTACTTAAACTATCTCTCCCTCGCTCTCATTTTCTGATTCATTTATGTGGAAAGAAGAATAGTAGAAATTTCAGGTAACATATGCCAAATCTCTTCATCTTTATTAAATCGTTGTGTACCTTATCTCTTGCTCTATAGAGTCAGCTTTTAGAGTCTTTAAGGTGTATATAATTTCAAAGTTACTTATGTGGTGAACCTTATCTCTCACTCTATAAGAGAAAAAAGGAAGTGGTTCACAAGGAAATTTACTAACACATATCTTTTTATGTACTTTGCTATCCATTCTTAACGTCACTAGATCTGTTGATAGTGACTAATTCTAAAATTTCCGAACTGTTCACGAAAGTGTCTTCAACACACTATGATCTCGCATGTGGCATGTTGCTATCTAGCTTATGTCTCCGGGTTTGTAGGGATCTATCCTCAAAGCTTATTGCTTCTCCTATCTATCTTATCTATGTTGCAAGCCTTTGCTCCTTACTCTTATTGTACCCAACCATGAGTTTGGAAGACTTTTGTTGTACCTTTTGTTTCTCTTTTTTGGATTGAAGGAATGAAAACAAGTATGTTAGCACAAAAAAAAAGTTAAAAATAAATAAATAAATACTTGAAATCCAAAGCACATCTATTAGAAAAGATCCATGTGTATACGTCCATAATTATCTAGTTAATATAAAAGATCATTGATATTGAATTTTCAATATGATTAAAAACAAAACTCTTATTATTCTTCTCTTTATTGATAAAATTACTTCACTGTTTAAGATCAAACTTATTAGGGCAAGTACAAGACAAACATTTCCATGTGAATCGGACCACAACTCTCCTAAGTAACGCCCTTTTACTCGGCCTTGTATATTTCTTCGCCGCCTTCTTCCTCCCTGCTCCTCCTCCACTTCCATCACCGTCTCCGTTCTCCTCTTTTTTTGAGAACGTATAGCTCCTAAGGTACATTTGCCTACAAGATAAGCTTTCCACCGCTGTAGTACGACCCTGGCTACCGCCGTGGCTTATAGACCGTACGAACTCTACCTCCGCCATCGGCCACTTGTGAATTTTGGCGTGAGTTCTACCGGGCCGGACGCAAACGGCATCGTTTTTGATGTTTACACAATCACCTATGCATTTGGATGCCATGGCCGAATCTCTCTAATGTTTATGTTTTTTGTGAATGTTGGGTTTTGCTAGATAAAATTAATAAGGTTTAGTGTGAGTAATCATGGAGAGAGATTTGTGGCTATAATATTTCTATCTTTTTGGCAACGATTAGTATTGACTGAAAAAATAAGACTCAATTAATGTGACTACCTTAGTTCTTTCTCCTTAACATATCAATTGTGTATAAATATTTACGTGTGTTCATCAATAGTCAAGGATAATTTTTTTCATAGTCATTAATAATAATCATAATTTATGGTATAGTAAAGGAAAGATTTGACTGACCAAAAAAGAAGGAAAATTTTGACAACAAATTTGACTGTTTCTAACAACAAATATGTCTAGCTAATTTGAAACATTTCGATTAATGTACCTAATCAGATTACTGAACTTGCTCGGTCAACCTAAAGTCCTGCTTACTATATAACCTAATCAGTCGATCCTAAAGATAATAACACATCAACTGATGGTGATAAGAATTAAAACTCATAGACATATTTGGCCAATGTAGAAAATATATTTAAGAAGAGCAAAATGGGCTTCGAACTTGATTTTATGATGGTTTGGTAATTTGGTTAATTAGTTCGTTTGAGGACTAATATCATATAAATTACGTTGTGATTTGATTAGGCCATTGTTTCCGTATTTACAATGGACAAAGATGGGCCCCTAAACGAACCAAGCCATATATCATTCGTGGGCTTGAAATAGGCCCTTTTATAGGAGAAAAAGGTGGGTAATCGATTTTTTTCAAGTCTCTCGTTCTTTTGAAGCTAGAAATCTTTTAATTTTCTTATGGTTATCAAGAAAAAAACAAGCTAGCAAGTAGCATCTGATTAACAGTCATTAAATGCACGAATTTATGGATTAGTCCACATAATCAACAAACCTCATGTCGTTTCTCTCTTAATAAGCAGTTGTTCGCGGCAAACCAGAGTTGATACTTGATACTAAAGATTTTGATCAGTTATTTCGACCAAACCAATTTAACCGATCCGGTTATCATCTCTAACCAACACATTTGGACTTGTGAGATTCACTATTTTGATATTGCGTCGTGTTCAAAGGAAACTAAACAAGCATAGAGAAACTGTTATTACTAAAACCGAATCACAATTAAAGACTACAATGACAAACTTGCAAAACAACATCCTTCATTTTTTTGTTTTTTTCGGAATTAACACCAAATTCTGAAAATTAACATTTCTAAGCAACGTAGAAAAACACAAAAACAACAATCAAAAACCCTAGCCGCCGAATCCATAGAGAGTTCTTCCTTGTCTCTTAAGAGCATAAACAACATCCATAGCAGTCACCGTCTTTCTCCGAGCGTGCTCAGTGTAAGTAACGGCGTCACGGATAACATTCTCCAAAAAGATCTTGAGAACGCCACGTGTCTCCTCGTAGATCAGACCACTGATACGCTTGACTCCACCTCTACGAGCCAATCTCCGAATCGCCGGCTTAGTGATTCCTTGGATGTTATCTCTCAGAACCTTCCTGTGACGTTTGGCTCCTCCTTTGCCCAAACCTTTGCCTCCCTTTCCACGACCTGACATTTTCTCAGGAAACTTTGATTTTTCTCGGGAAAACTTTGGATTTGAAGATTCAACAGTGAGATTGAGATGAATTTGAGAGTTTTGGTAAGAGGAGATGTGATTTTATATACAAGACGGATCCAATTAATTTGAGCCGTCAGATCTCTTATTAGATCTAACGGTTGTAGATATCGATCCGGGTGAACAATGAGATTAAATATTTGCCGTTGATTTATTTTTATCGACGGTTAGTATTCTCGATCCGTGTGATGCCTGCAAGTGAAAATTTATGAATTTTCAATTAAGCGCCACGGATTGAGGAATATAGCGCCAATTAACGCAAATTAAATCATCATATGAACAAATAACATTCCACATGATGTCAAAAAAAAAATAACATTCCACATGTATATTTTTCAAACAAGTAATATTCATATTTACAACTTTCATTACATGGCAAGTGACAAATAAAATAAAAAACTATTTCACAATGGTTATAACATAGAGTTATGCATCGAAAGGTTTGTTTTTTTTTTTTTTTTGGTACAAGAAAAAAGGTTTGGTTTATGTCACATTAGAGAAGAACATGTATATGCTATCTTGCCTTAGGCTTCACGTCGTCGGTATCAAAGGTCACAGTCACACTAAGCTGATCCGAGCTATGACCAGAGTCCATGTTTTGAATCCTACTTGCCCTTGCGTTTTCAGAAGCAAGACACTCTTTAAGATTGATGATTACTTGAGACATGTTTGGTCGTTTGGCCGAAGAAGGATTTGCGCATGACATTGCTACTTCAAGAGTTCTCCAAACAGAGTGAGTGTCATAATTTCCGTGAAGTTTAGGATCCACGATCTGACTAGTGTCTCCTTTATTAATCAAAAATGTCACCCATTCTGCTATGTTAGGCTTTTCACGGGTTTGTTCAATCACTCGTTGGTTTGTGATAATCTCTAGTAACAAGATCCCAAAACTGTAGACATCACTCTTCTCGGACAACTCACTTGTTAAGTAATATCTGTAAAGGCAAGAAAATGGAGTGAATCATATGTAGTTTACAATTCTTGAACCAATTTAAAGAAATAAAAACATATATATATATATATATATATAACATATTAAAACCATGGTGTAAGATGATAGATATACTTACTCGGGATCAAGATATCCTAAAGTACCAGCAACAACTGTTGAAACTCGAGATTGATCGCCTCCAACTTGAAACGATCTAGAGAGTCCGAAATCCGCAATTTTGGCTTTGAACTCTTCATCCAACAATATATTTGTACTTTTGACATCTCTATGCACCATTGCTGGTTTGCATCCAGTATGCAAGTATTCTAATCCTAATGCAGTTTCGATAGCTATTTGCAATCTAGTACCCCAATTTAAAACAGAGCCACCGTGTTTTCCTACATATCAAAAAAAAATTATTATCATCTTAAAGCTATACACTAAGCATTATACGAAATCGTAAATTTTTTACGGACAATCTTGTTAAAACGCTGTTTTAATTCAACCACTTTTAATTAATTATTTTCATTTGGTGATCCATAAAAGATTCCTATGAGTTATATATGTGTTCACCTGATAAATGCTGATGTAAGTCTCCATTAGACATGTATTCATAAATGAGAGCAAAGTGATCTTGTTCATCGCAGTATCCAACAAGGCTTACCAAATTTATGTGGTGAACCCTTAGAAGAAGTTCAACCTGGCGGCAATGTAAAGCAAACACGCACACACAGACATAAAAACATTGGTTTAACATAACATAAAGATAAATTACAGTTTTTTTACTTATCATTATACAGAACAGTTAAAATATTTCTTACCTCTGCCTTAAATTCTTTATAGCCTTGTGCTGATGTTTGGGAAAGTAGTTTAACAGCTACTTGCTCTGAGCCATTTAGATCACCATGATAAACAACGCCAAACCCTCCTTCACCAAGAGGTCTTTGCAAGTTCTTAGTCATTTTCAAAACTTCTGGATAAGTAAACCTTTTCTTTTTCGTCTTGATCCACGGTTCATGCTTATTTCCTGCATGTAAAACAAATGCAACTATAGCTACAATGTAATAATATATGACTGTTTCTTGATTTAGAGAGGTTATTATAAATATTCCATACTTGATGAGATTTTCTTTTTGAATACAAAAAGGAGGATCAACACAACAACGATAGCGGCAATGGAAGTGACTGGTGCAACAATCGTTACTGGAATTTTTTTCTTTTGCTTATCTATGCATGTACCGGAGAGACAAAGCTCTTTGTTTCCAACGACACTACATAGGAGAAGTTTAAAATTCAAAAAATTTATATTAACATTCATATTTCAAGTTGGGAATTGGGATAATGCATGGTGAGTTATAGAATCTTTCTTACTTTAACTTTAGCCCTTCCCTTTCTCTATCGCGAAGAGCTTGAGGTATTGCACCACTAAGTTTGTTCCCGCTCAAGTTTCTGTCGAAGTAGAGGAAAATTCATGTGTACACAAAAATGATTTCATGTGAACGTAGAAAGTAGATAAATTGAGAAAGTTTATTACATGACCAACAATGATTTCATAGAGGCTAGAAACTCGGGCACCGTTCCACTCAAAGTGTTATTTGACAAATCCCTGGGATATGAAAAACAATGAACCATTATTTGCTTGTATCGTGCATATATCAAACTTTATTTTTTAATTAATCACTAACAATCATTACTTACAAACTTTCTAGATGAGTTAGATTCTGAAAGTCATGCACTATAGTCCCACTCAAGCCACTCGAAGATAAATTTCTGGTTATTAGAAACATATTGTAAGTTTAGATTATATAGAAACATATTTTAGTAATTTTAAAAAGTCCGTGTGAGAGAAATAATTGATCTTACAAAGAAATTATCCTTGGTGGTGCAGATATATCTGTGATGTTACAATTCAATCCATCCCACAAGAATTGTTTCGGTACGCATGGATCTCCTTGCCAACTGATTCTACTCAGTCCATAAGTAGTTCTGATGTTCTTCATAGCAACCACTAGAATAAAATTTCATTGATGCGAGAAATATTTAATGAATTAGATTTCATGGATATGTTTTAACATAATCATTTATTTAAAACAAGAAAAAAAATAACTATCTAGTTTTGATACCTTCAATTTCATTTGTCTGAGATTGTAGAAGCTGGAGAACTGAGTAAACTTCAAAAGCATTAAGTAGAGGTGGAAGTGTCGATCTTTGGGTTTTTATCAACTGAATTCGGCAGATACCTCTGTTGCATTGCCTAGGATTTGTTGTAAGCCAAGTCATTATTTCAAGATATTTAGGACTAACTCCAATAGTGTTAATTTTTTCTCCATTCAATACAATGTCGAATTCTCTAGTGTCATTGGCTTTTAGGACTTGGATCTCCGCGAAGTGCATGTACAAGTAGATTTGGTCATCAGGGTTCTCCAAACGCCAAACCATCATCAGGGGTGCATCAAGATTTGTAGGTGTTGCGGCCATCTTAAGAGCAGCTTGGGGTGGATCATAGTGATTTTTATTGGACACATTTGCAGTTGTTGAAATTTGTGTCCATTCTTGTTGAGAATATGGAACCCATGAACGATCATAAACATCTTTTGGGTACCTATCACAACTCACAATCTTTCTCTTAGTATTGGTTGTCAAAAAGTAAAATGAGTAAGACTCTTAACTTCCCAAGCTTCCTTAACATTTAAATGCATCAATCATTTGCATTATTATAATTATTATTTTGATTACTCAGGTGATCTTAAAGACTTAAAAGCAGTGTTCAAGAAAGCGCTAGGCACTAAGCGGGCGGTGACCCGGTGCCTAGCGCCTAGAATACCTAATCGGGGCCTAGGCGGTTTAGACGTTTATAACATAAAACATTATAAATATGATATTATATAAAAAAGTTATATAAAATATCTATATAAAACTAAAAATTATGAAATTATAAACAAAAACTAGATAAAACATTTATTTATATTTATATTATATAATATATGGATATTTATAACTATATATATATATATAAATAAAACTCTAACTGAAATTGAAAAAATACATTAAACAATATCTATGTAATTTTAGGCGGTCAAGGCGGTTATCTAGGCGTCGCATGAGAGCCTAGCGCCTAGTCGGGGCCTAGGCGACCGCCTAGACCGCTTTCTTGAACACTGCTTAAAAGACTATTTAAATGCATGGATTATTTGCATATTAATGATTTAAGATAAAGACTAGTTATGATTTGAAGTTGAATACGTACCGAAGAATAACGGTGGCATTGTTAAGATACATGCGAAAGTAATATTTCAAGGAACCAGATTTAGCGATGTAAGTATCACTCGCCAAAGGTCGTAGTTCCAAAGCTGATATCATTGGGGTAGTTGCCCCTGTCTTAACAATACAAATTTGCAAAGAGTTTGATCTTGGGATGTGAATGATCTCCTTCACTGTACCATCTGGCACTATTTGCAAATCTATTGTTGTCCACTTATTAGGACCGATATGCATATCGAATTCAGGGCTAACATTAAGCCCGTCAAAATTTCCATAGAAAAATGTAGCTCTAATAAGATAGTTCCTCCCTTCTTCCACTCTTAGATCATAGCAGTTTCGTATTCCATCTGGAAAGTATCGTACGGTCGCATACTGTTTTAAATTATCTGATTCAAGATTTTTAGGGATTCTACCGGTCTTTCCACTTTGGATGAAATTCTCGTCTGATGAGAATTGTATTCCGGTTTCCGATTCTGTGTAAGGAGGCTCATTTAGAGGTAAGCCACAATCTAAACTAATAAAACCTGTTATGAAATGAAAACATAAGAATGATGAAAAGAAGTGTTGAGTCATGCATAGGTGTATAGCCGTATAGGGGGAGAGAGTAACGGTAAAATAAAAAAGGTAAAGACTTATATATACCATGGCCGGCTCTATAGAACTAGATGCCGAACGAAATCTATACTATATAAAAGTCGAGACTATAAGCTCTTGAGGCTGTCCACGTGGGATTTTAAACGACCAATCGAGATAAGACACTTCATTAATTAGCATTTTTAGATTTTATTAATTTTCTATATTAAAATTTTTTAAAAAAGGAAAAAAGTAGCATATGAAAATAAGAGAAATATATGGAAATATGGAAAACTTTCTAGATATAATATTTTATATGGAAATATATAAAATAAATTAATTAATCAAAATGTAATTTTTTAAAAAATTTATTACATTTATAAATGAAAATAATGAAAATATGTACAAAATTCTAAATATAAAATTTTAGTTAATCATAATAGTCTTCTTATTAATTTATTTTTAAATTCTACCATTTTCTATATTAATATATTAATAAAAAAGAAAAGAAAACAGTATATAGAAAGATGACAAATGTGAAGTATTGAAAAAATAACATATAGAAATAAGACAAATGTAAAGTATATATACCATCACATTAATTAACATTTCTGAGTTCTAATATTTTCTATACTAATATATTAATGAAAAGGAATAGAAAAACAATATATAGAAAGGTGAGAAATATGAATTTTGAAATAACAACATAAAGAAATTAGACAAATGTAAATTATATCTTTCAATATTATCTTTGGCTATATTTGACCAAAACTCTTTTTTTTTTAAGCAAATGTTGATGCAATATATACTAAATTAAAAGTTCATATAAATTTTTTATTAATATCTTTTAAGAAATGAAAATAAGAAGCTATAACCTTCTAAAGCTGTCCATGTGGAATATTAAACGACAAATTGTGATTAGTCATTTCACTAATTAACATTTTTTCCATCTCATTAATAAACATTTTTAAATTTTAATATTTTCTATATTAAATATTAATAGAAAGGGAAAGACACAAAATTTATGGAAAGAAGAGAAATGTGAATTTTTTAAACAACAATATATAGAATAAATAAGACAAATGTAAATTATAGATTTCAATATTATATTTGGTTATATTTTTTAAAAAATCCTCTTTTTAAAATTTTTTAATACAATATATTCCAAATTAAAAGTTCATATAAAGAAGATTAATATATCTTTCTGGCCATAATATTTTTAAGAAAATAAGTTCATAGAATTATTCTTTCTCTTATAGATGTCGTCGAGTTAAAGAAAAACTTTCTAAAGTTTTCACTGCCTCTTGATTCCGTATAAATACATTGACGAGGGTTTTCGTCAGCTCATATCCAGCTGCTACGTTTTAAAATTGTTTGGGTAGTTGGTGACGATATATCAAAATCACCGGTGAGCTTTCTTAAAAGAAAATTAGTCGGTAGGTTTGTAGAAACGTGTATATGTTATTGTTTCATAATAAGAAGAATCACACAAAACTTTTAAGTAGAAGATGAAAAAAAAAAGATGACCTTTATTTTAATAGAGGAGAGAGATGGTTTGTTCATCCGCTATTTTAATTACATTTCCTAACAAAGATGAAGATCACATTTGTAACACCCCGGTTTCAAGAATATGGTGGTGCATGCTGAGAGGTTTAAGAGAATTGATTTGGCCACCTATTTCACCAAAGTGCACTTATTTTTTTGGTCAACGGTCCTGAGAGAACTCCACAGTTAAGGGTGCTTGAACTGGAGCAATTTCAGGATGGGTGACCTTCCGAGAAGTGATTGTCGGAACTGTGTGAGTGAAGACAAAACACAGGGACAGATCATGTGGCGATTTGTAGGATCAGTAAACAAGTCTTTAAAGCAACCCGGACATAGCGGACCGCCCGCCGGACAGGAGTGGGCCCATGGGCCCGAAAGAAGATGTGGGGCCCACTGGTAGGGACGGTCAGGGCGTTACAAGTGGTATCAGAGCCGAACCCAGGCGAGTGTAGGGTGAAGAAGGCTCACACCATCGGGGGTGACGGTCTTGGTGCGCAACGAGGACATTGCGATCTGTTAGTGGGGTTGAATTTTAACACCCCGGTTTCCGGAATATGGTGGTGCATGCGGAGAGGTTTAAGAGAATTGATTTGGCCACCTATGTCACCAAAGTGCACTTATCTTTTCGGTCAACGGTCCTGAGAGAACTCCACAGTTAAGGGTGCTTGAGCTGGAGCAATTTTAGGATGGGTGACCTTTAGGGAAGTGAATGTCGGAACTGTGTGAGTAAGGGCAAAACATTGGGAAAATCATGTGGTGATTTGTAGGGTCGGTAAACAAGTTTTTAAAGTCTTCCGGACGTAGCGGACTGGCCGTCGGACAGGGGTGTGCCCATGGGCCCGAGAGAGGATGTGGGGCCCACTGGTAGGGACGGTCGGGGCGTTACAACATTTATGAAATCGGATCAAAAGTTGCGACTTTTGATGATTAATGATTGTAATGGTGATGATGACGTTTGTCTCAATTTTTAAGAGCGACTTAGACGTTGTGTTCGTGGGAAGATTGGGAGACTGTGGGAGAAAGAGATTTGGTTGGCGGTGGAATTGGCTGACCTTCTCTTCTTCTTTGATCTTGGCACTTAGATACTTGTATCTCAAGTAAACTATGACAAACCCATGAGCAGCTATACATGTCAATACCTTAAGAATCGTAACTACACATGTTGATGCTTTAAATCTCTTTTATTTAAATTTTCTCTCATACTCATAATTTGATATGGCTATCTCTGCTTTTGTCTCTAATCATAAATCATAACCATGTTTTTATGCTTGAAAGTTAATTTATATACTATGATTTTATTTTTATTTTGACTCTCATCATTGATTGTTACTATCTCATTTTTTTGTGTGTGGCTCACTCTGGCATTACATCCACATCTAATGGATCACTTTGACTTTCCTCCTTCCCAGATGCTATATTCCGTAGAGATCAGCCTTTTTGTTATTTTTATCACGTGAGAGTTTTTATTATTTTGAGGAGAGTAAAGCCGAAAGAGTTCGACTGAGTTTTGTAAAAAGTGATAGCTTTCGAAAAAATATGTGAAGACAAAAATTCATATACATATTGAAAAGAATGTGAGAAAAATATGAGTTGCTTTTTTTTTTCTTTTGTCAAAGGAAATATATGAGTTGTTTAAAAAAAGTATAGATAAGTTTATGAATATACTTTTATAAAGAAACTTATCTTTACAAAAGCTATACTAACTAATGCAGTGAGATAGACAAAAAACAATAGTGAATTTGCGCATACCAAAATGAGAAATTCGTCGAAGTTAATCTCCATACAGCAATTTATTTCATGACATTCAATCAAAATGTCGTATGTGAAAAGACCCGGTCATCCAAAAAAGCTAAAGAAAGAAATTCAACAAAAACATATTCCTTTGATAAATGTTGTAAAATCCTAAAAGTTGTGTTAGAGTTTTTTTTAGTTGTGTATTTAAATTAAACTATACGCTAATTTTAAATTCAAAAATTTAGGCTATTAACAAGAAGTAGAAAAATAAAAACATATATTTCCAAATTTTCAATAAATATTATTAGTAATACAAAATATTACTAAAAACAGACCCGCGCGTAGCGCAGGTTCAGAACCTAGTTTTTCTAAAAAAGTGACTATACATGTAACTAAATTTGATCGGACGAATCAAAAATTATGTTTTTTTCCTTAATTATCTTATAATTACTATTTAGTATTTACTAATAATCATTCTATAGAAACTTATCATTTTGTTTAAATTATGTTTACAAATAAAAAATCTTATTTAATTTAATTTTGTCTTCTAACTTAATACTAATGTTATTTAAGCTAATTAAGACCTTTTTTTTTTTTTGACATCTTTGGATCGACAAAGCCCGATCCATAGCCAATCCCTACTACGCGGGGTAACGCGATTTACTGGAGTCGAACTCCGGTGGGGAAGGCGGAGTCAACTGGACTTAACCACTTGACTAAAGGCACATCCCCAATTAAGACTTCTATAAATACTGGAAAAACAAATTTGATAGAAATCACTTAAGTGATATAAATTATGTTAAAAATATCATATGAATGATAAAAGGAAAAGACGAAGAAATAGTTGAAAAATAAAAGAAGATAATATTTAACACTAATAAACGAGTTCAGAAAATAATTATCATCTAAACTATTGAATAATATGGCATACTAATGGTGACCACCTCTGTTGCCATCTCATTAAATCCAGGCTTGAACATGGTCCCTCTCTTTTGAGGGACGAATATGACAAACATAAAATAAAGTGTCCCACTACATGTGTTGTGTTACTAAAAAAAAAAAATAATGAAGTAGGGAAAACTATGAAGTAGAAAGACATCGACCCTATGCAGTGATGATATATAGTAAGTTAAACATTTTAATAGCCGCCACTACACTACACTTATAATCGGATCACATATGTGGCCTCAAAGCAAAGTGATTATTGTGCCTTATGGCCGGACGGGCATGGGACTTACATACCTTCTTGATTTTGTCCTTCAGCAAAACGAAGGATCGGGAAAACTCCAAACCAAAACAACGACAACAGAAGCCAACAAAGACTCTTCATGATTCCCCCGATCACAAAACACGCGGAAAAAGATCGACACACACTTATGTACTCACGATTCACTTATATACTAAATGTAAGGACACACAAATTAAGCTTCTCCAGTATGGACACCAATTAAACCACGCTAAAGTCAACGATATGAGAAAATGAGTGAATATGGAGTTGATAATTGCTTCAAGAAAACCAAGTGAAAGTGAGCAATGATGTCTTCTAGTGTAAACATCAACGTCACGAGATTAATATATTTTAAAAGTACGCCAAAAGTCTTCATGCCGTACGTGCGTATACGACCAGGTCTTATCACAACCTTGAGTAAAGATTTTGTTTGGTGCAATTAAATGGATTTGCTAATTCTTTATTTTACAAAATGCAAGTTGCTTTATTAGACATTTTCCCATAGAACTTGTCAATCTGCGAAATATTTTGAGGTTTTATATTCACACCACCATGACGCATGAAGAAACTATAAGAGGGAGGGAGTTGACTTTCGAGTGGTCATAGACTTGGATATATACTATTTCGTGTGATTTATATGCAAAGGTGTGCGTCAAATTGTTATCCTATTCGATCAAATAGTCTACACATTGAATTAGAAAAACATTTTTGAATGGGATTCAATTCAAATCCCATAATCATTCTCTTTAGATTCGATCATCCTCCCATGATTTGATTACCCCTTCTAAGCTCTTTGATATGGCGAGAGGAGTATTTATAGAAGCGTTACCTGGCCCAGGTTTATACCATTACATCCGGTCGACTTGTCATAGGACCTAGGTCAATGATTACAAAGTGCTTTTAGCAGTATGGTGAAGTGATCTGACTGTATTGGGGCCTGGGCAATACGTTTGGTCTCTGACTGGACATCACCTTGGTCGAGAGAGCGTGCTCTGCATGTTTATGATGCGGACATCCCTCCGTACAAATGGATTAAATGTTCTGTCTGCTTCTGGTGACTGGGAAGTGGTCTATCTATTGGAAAGTTATGAGAAGTGGCTCTATGACTCGTCTCCCGAAAACAATATTATATGGCCGTATCACCGAAACAGACCGCATATTTGTACTTAATGGAGGCCGAGGATCTTGCCATCTTTCTATAGAAAAATCTCGGCCAAGTTTCTCGATGTGTTGTGGTCACGGTCTCACGGTTGGTAGGCAGAAAATCACTCTCAAAACAATTAATTTCGAATCCAAGTGCAACATCCAAATGCATATGTTAAACCAGTTAAAACGAATATCATCTGGATGTTGAATGCTAACATCCTAATTCATAAACAAAATAACTTCAAACTTGAGCCAAAGTGAAACCGGAGTGGACACCCGCTATACTTATACGTCTGATGCCCTTTAAACAGATTTAAACATCGATCGGAACAATTCAAGTCAACGGAAGGCATATCTCACTTTAAATATTTCGGCACTAGCCATGTTGGTTGGTAAAATCGGCTATCCTTTCCATTGATAGGGTCTTTAAAATTAATTACAAGTTGAACAATTTCTGAAAAATAAACTAACCAATAAACAAAAGTATTTCTCATTAGAAACTTTCCAAGAAACTGACATGTTCTCACGTTAGGACTATTGTCTTGGTACGGCTTTTACTTGAAATGTCTAAAGGAATTGTGTGGCTCCATTGCTTATATAAACTTCATTTATGGTTCAGAACTTGGGACCGTGACCGTGACTTTCTTGATTTTGCTTGGAAAGTAAGAGGATATGGAGAGTCCCCATGCGGTTTTGTTGGTCGTACTTATTGCAACTTTTGCTATTTCTAACCTTGTTCAAGCTGAAGATCAAGAAGGTATATATCCAAATTATTGAGATATGTCTATAGCGTTTCTATAGTTGAAATTACATATATATATATAGTATCTTTTCTTACAACAAGATAAACGAATCTTGAATTTGGGTATTGCGTCTTCTACTCTTCTCCCTAAAGTTGTGAGATTTCAGCCATATTGTAGTAGATTCATGTTTTGGCGTCAAAATTGTGGAATCATATTTTCTAAAAAAATTGTGTAGTTCCGTGTTTTATGCCGTAATTTTGGATTCTCATTTTTCGCTAAAATTACAGAATATTGTTTCTTTTGCAAAAATTGTGAAATTGAGATTTTCCGCAAATGCATTTTTTTTTTTTTGACCTTGAAAAAAAAAGTATGCGTCCTAAGAACAAAAATGTGGTAACGTCACGATGGTTCTATGTATCTAATATTCTATGTACCTCTATTCTCTACTAGCTAACCCATCGTGTAAAATAACATGCTGATTTGATTGAAACGAAATATAGAAAGTGTTTATGAAATAAGAAAATACTAGGGATTGCCACGCACCTTCGACATAAACAATTTTCTGTGAAACTCTTAGGGAACGCGATACATCATGTTTTTTTTTTCTCAAATAATGTATCGGACATAAATGATTAATTTATAATAAAAATTGATGGATAACTTATAATTTTTTTTTTCTCATGAATCGTATACAATTATTATAGAAGTACATTAAAGAAAATAACCTTGTCATTTGTAAGATATTTCATAGGAATACCATTGGAGATAACATTTCAAAGAGTAAATTAATTCATCTCATTAAAGATAAACAAGTTAAATACTAATTTATGTAATTTAATTAAATTATAAAACTGAAAATACATTATTAATTTTTTTTAAAAGAATGACCAATCAAAATGAACATATAAGATTTGATATCTAACTTATCATATTAATTTGTTAATAATCATTATACTTATACTTCACCTCTCATCTTTATATGATTCTATTTTTTTTGAAACAAATACATCGTCATATCATACATATAATAAAAAAGTAGATATTTTTTCCTCATATAATATGATTGGAATTTATAAAAACGAATATAAAGTGTTCTATCTATGAAGGAAAAAAAGTAACAGGTCAAAAATTTAGACTTGAGTAATATATTTCTTTTAAACAAAAATTTCAACTGAGTAACAGTTCAGAATTTGAATATTTATATTCAATTCATACATTTCTTTTTATGAAATGTATAATTTTATATACTACCATAAACTTTTATATATTTTAATTTGGAACATTTTAAAATAGTGTTATTTGATATTCTTAAAGAATATCATCAATACTTAATAGATTAAAAATTTAAAAATTATAAGTACTCTAATTTGATTTTTTTAAACAAATATATTTAAAATATTTATAATAGACGACAGGTTAAATATGATGTATTATATGATAGAATGAGTTATGATCCTTATAACTATTTAAATATTTATATTTAATTTCATACAATTCTTTTTTTTGAAATGCATAATTTTATATACTACAATAAAAAATTTAAATATTTTAGTTTGGAATATTTAAAAATAGTTTAATTTAATACTTTAAAAAATATCATAAATATTTAATAGATCAAAAAGATAAAAATTATAAATACGCTAATTTGATTTTTTAAAACAGATATATTTAAAATATTTATAGCAAGCGACATGTTAAATAAGATATATCTAAATATTTGAAAATTTGATTCTGCAAGTAATTTTGAAAATAACGAGTGATGGATTAATTGTGCACACATTGTTTTCATTCGGATTCTAAAATAAAAATATAGAATCCACGCACGGGTTGAATTTAGTATTATTATATACCAACAATATGTTCATAACATATTCAATTATGTGAATAATTGCTAAACTCCGTAATTACCTCTAACAAATCTCCATTTCGACAACCAAAAAATTAAAATTTGAAAAAGAACTTCCTAAATTAATTCAAAATAATAGCTAACTTCTTTAATTAATTCAAAATAATCAACGTTTTAGGTGCGACTCATTTATGATATTTCGATTTTTTATCTAACTGAATTATATGCAATCTTATTTTGTGGTTGTTGACATATATTAACTCATTGTTCAAATAATATTAATTTTTAAAAATAATATTACTTTCGGTTATCATACTTTAAGAAAAATTATCTATAATTGAATATTATATAAGAAGGAAAATATATTCATTCTAATATTATATATAGGGAATGACAAAAACAATTAATACTTTTTCACTTACTACTATAATATATCAAAACTTTATCTTAAAATATATAATATATAAAATTTTGTACTAAATAAAATTAAACCCGTGATCAACTATCTCTAGAAAGTATTTCGAGCCGTATAGTTTTTTTTTAAATCACTCAGTGACTGATTAATGGACAGCGGATCATTAGTGTATTGGAAATTTCTATATAGTTTTGGATATAACCAAAAACGAGCATCCTTCTAAAGCAATTGGCTGTCAACTTTACTTGTACTTTAAGACAACATCGTTCCACTAACCAACGCTTTATTTTTTTGTTTGTTTAGTAACTATTATTTGATCTCTTGCATATCTTCTTAATAGGGTTCATCAGTTTGGATTGCGGTTTAGCCCCGAATGAAGTGTCACCATATATCGAGCCGTTTACTGGACTACGATTTTCATCAGACTCAAGCTTCATTCAAAGTGGAAAAATTGGTAGAGTTGATAAAAGTTTAGAGGCCACTACTCTAAAGTCATACATGACGCTGAGATACTTTCCAGATGGAAAACGCAATTGTTACAATCTAATTGTGAAGCAAGGGACAACTTATTTGATGAGAGCTACAGCTCTATATGGAAATTATGACGGTCTTAATAATAGTCCTAAATTTGATTTATACATTGGCGCTAACTTATGGACAACACTAGACACAGGAATATCTTTAACTGGTGTGGCTAAGGAGATCATTTACATCACAAGATCAAATTCTTTAGACGTGTGTCTTGTCAAAACAGACACGTCGACGCCATTTTTATCACTCTTGGAACTAAGGCCTCTAGATAATGATACTTACCTCACTAGTTCGGGTTCCTTGAAAAAATTCAGCCGGTACTATCTTAGTAATTCAGAATCTATTATCGCGTAAGTTTGCTTTAAAATGATTTTGAGTTATTTTTGGTCATTTGGTTGTTCCTCGTTAATAAGATCTTTTTTTATGAAGCACAGGTATCCAGACGACGTCAAGGACAGAATATGGGAATCAAGATTTGAGTCAGAATGGAAGCAGATTTCCACCACTCTCAAACCGAACAACTCCATTGGTGGTTATTTTGTGCCGCAGAATGTGCTTATGACCGCAGCAA